GCCGTCAACTCTCTTCCCTCCAAAGGGAGACCCGGCCAGCCCCTGCCTTCCAAAAGTGTTTCCAACTCCTTTGGTGCAGAGCAGACACAGTCTCTTCCAAAGTAAATGACTTATTAGTCACCTGTGGAAGAGTATCTAATTAATGATTATGTAATAACTATATTATACATACAGGTCGATCATTTACACCTAAATCTTATATTTTTGTGTTTGTTTTCTAAGAATATTTTGCTGAAGCCAGGTTACTTTAACAAATTATTAGTTTTTAATTGTTCTTTCTGCATAAATGGGACAGGAATATTTAAAAACTTCTGAATTTAATGTATTTTGTTTCTTGCTGCAGGCTATGTAGGCAGTGCTAGATCTCTTTCTACAACATATTGCCTTTAGTAACTGAAAGAACTTATAGTACATTTGGCTACCTAATCAGGACTTGCTTGGAATATATTGGTGATACAATCTGCACATGGTGCTTGTTTATAGCTCATGTGGGAATTTTTGGTAGTCTTCCTCTTAAATGTTCTTGGCTGGGGGGAGCTGTGTTGTCAGCTTCTGTTCTCTGAGCTGATGAGTCAAGCTTCAGATCTGACTATAGGCATCATTGACGCATCGGTCTAGATTGCATTGCCTTTTTACTTTACAGTAGATCTCATTCTACAAGAGCAGGGGAAAACCTGCCAGATAGTGGCAAAGTCAGAATCGCCCGTTATCGTATTGATATAGTCTTTATTCAAAGGTAACTGACATAGCAAGGGGCTACCACTGAGTTGGTGGCCATTGATCCCAAAAGAATTAGTGGGATGCATTCATTTTTGGTATAAAAAGATGTTCTATTCTGGTGCATAGGATGTGGCCACTTTACTTTGCAAAAATACCTGTAACTTGTAGTGGGCAATATAGTTCCTCCGGCTGGGTATTTCCCAATCAATGGGGCATTTATGAACCTGCTTCAGTGTCACTGGTCCTAGGGAGCTAGAAGCTCAAAAGCAGCCAATCAGACTTTTTCCCTCCAGCTGTCTTGGTTCTGCCCCCTCCTAAGTTACACCACCCAGTGTTTTCCATGGTGGGAACCAGAGAGAACACTTGGTTGTAGGGGTCTCTGTATGCTGGTCTGTTACAATGTGACAGTGAGAATGGAAAACAGAGCAGATCAGGAAGGCAATCTACAGAAAATCTCTCCTTCTAGTAGTACAAAATAAAAAAACCCAACCCCCGCCCAAACATTCAGCTCTTTGAAAGTGTGAAAAATGGGGGTGGAGAATTTTTTCAGAGAAGTTGGTAGCCAGTGCCCTATACAGTAATGGGTTTCTTCATTCTGTTGCATCCTCGGCTAAATCAGTCCCTGTGGCCCTACAAATAAATGATGAAATCCTTACAAGGGGGATGTTCCTTAAATCTTCCTGAAAAGTCTGGGGAAAACCCAGCTGTTCAGACTTTCTGAATAAATTCAGAATCTCATTGGATAAGATCTATAGGCATTTGTACGTATGCATGGAACAAGAGTGTCAGGTGCTTTTTAAAAGCGCCTGATGCTGCATTGCATGCATTTGTATAAATGACAAAAAGCGCATCAGCACTGAGAAAATGGCAGCAGTGCACTTTTGAACTAAAATGCATCAAAGGTGTTTTAGTTCAAAAGTACCCCCGCTGCCATTTTCTTAGCACTGATGTGCATTTCACCCTTTATGCGAATGTATGCGATGTAATGCTGGGCACATCAGATTGTGTGCTCCGCAGACTTGATTAATTGAGTCTTCTTGGACCCACTGGATTTCTGGCATGTTGGAGCAGATAAAGGTCTGTGTATAAATGCTCCATAAGCTGAGCTTTAAAGCTACACTTGATGTTGGCAAGAAGAAAAACTGCTTGGTGAGGAGGCTGATGCCCCCTTTGTGGAATTTAAACTCTATTTTTGAAGTTTGTGGTTTCAGCACTTCAAGCCAGGTGAAAAAAAGGCCCCTTTCCAGATGCTGACCCAGTGCTGAACTGTTTGTCTCTGGTGCCAACGGGCAGTTCCTTCCCTTAGGCTGCTGCTTACAGCTCTACCTAGTAGGGCTGTGTAAAACAGCACCGTTCCAATTCAACTTCCATTTCAACAATTCGACGGAACAGTGTTTCGTTTCAAAAGCACTGTTCTGTTTCGTTTCATTGACACTGTTTTGCTGTTTTGCCCATAGGTTATGGGGAAACGTAAAATGCAGCAGCAGGCAGGGAGATGGGGCGGGGGCTCGCCTGCACCCCTGAGAGGGCTGCCGGGGCTGTGCTGGAATCCTCCCAGGGTTTGACCCCTGATCTGCCTGCCAGATGAGAGAAGATGGGTGCTGCTGCCTGAGACCAGCGCTGGGAAGATCGCTGCTGCTGCCGCTTCCAAGCAGCAGCACCTGGCTCCTCTCATCTGGCAGGCAGATTGGGGGCTTGCCCACACCCCGGGAGGGCTGCAGGGGCTGTGCCAGAGTCCTCCAAGGAGTGCAAGCCCCCGATCTGCCTGCTAGATGACAGACTGGCACTGGGCACAGCCCGCACCCAGCATTGAAAAGATCAGTGCTACCACTGGCCCCAGGTGGCAGCTCCTGGCTCCTGTCAGCTGGCAGGCAGATGGGGGCACATACCCCCTGGGAGGACTCCAGGATGGCTCCTGCATCCCTCTCAGGGGTGCTGGTGGGCTCCCGATCTGCCTGCCAGCTGACAGGAGCCAGGTGCTGCTGCCTGGGGCCAGCGGGGCTGGGACAGATCAGCTTGTGCAGGGACCTGCCACACTGATCCCAGGGCAGGGAAGGGTCCCTGCACCAGCTGATCTGCACCTGCTTGGAGCCAGCTTCAGTGTGGGGGCGGGTACAGATCAGCTGGTGCAGGGGACCCTCCCCTGCCCCAGGATCAGGGCAGCAGATCCCCACATAAGCTGATCAGCCCTGGCCCCATACTGAAGCCAGCTCCAGGTGAGTGCGGGGCCTGGGGCAGATTAGCTTGTGCAGGGACCCCTCCCCTGCCCTGGAATTGGGGCAGTGGGTCCCCGCACAAGCTGATCTGCCCCAGCCCTGCTGGCCTCAGGCAGGAGCACCCAGCTCCTGTCAGCCAGCAGGCAGATTGGGGGCCTGCTGGCACCCCTGGGAGGGTTGCGGGGGCTGTGCTGGAGTCCTCCTGGGGTTATGTGCCCCCAATCTGCCTGCCAGCTGACAGGAGCCAGGTGCAGCACTGATCTTCCCAACGCTGGGTGCAGGCTGTGGCCAGTGCCGGTCTGTCATCTGGCAGACAGATCAAGGGCCTGCACCCCTGAGAGTACTCCAGCACAGCCCCCCACAGCACTCCTGGGGGTGTGGGCGAGCCCTGATCTGCCTGCCAGATGACAGGAGGTAGGTGCTGCCAGCTGGGACTGGTGCTGAAGCCAGTAAGCCTGGCTTTGAAACTTGAAATGTTTCAAAACTTTTCGAAACGTTTTGAGTTCTCTTGTTTAGTTTCAAAGCTGTTTCGAAGGCTTTAGTTTCATTTGGATTTTGCTGTTTCAAGCTTGAAATGCATCGAAACAACTTTGAAACGAAATGTTGGGTGAAATTTCGCACAGCCCTGTTACCTAGTAGCTCAGAGAGAATCTGCCTAGTCTTTGATCACTGAAAAGTAGCAGTAACCAATAGTGAAACAGGCACTTTGCAGCTGCTTGGCAAAGATCTGAGCAACAAGCAAGGCAGTCAATATTGCTTTTCACTGGGATAAATGACCCCTCTCACCAAGCCACCACTCGCGCACCGTTGAGATTGGAACAGATCCTTTTCCTTTCTAGTGGATTGCTTCAAAAACTCCCCCAGATGGAGGCTGAAGATGGTGCTGGGTTTGGGATTATCACTGAGTTGTTGTCCCAGGCCTCTAGTGATCCCTCTGCTTTTAATTCATTCTTGCTGCTAGGTAGTTTTGTCTTGTAGCTAACAGATGCAGGGTAAGCATGAGGTATGGCTACATGAAGGAAGGGATTTGATCAAGAGCAATGACCCAATGCAAAAAAGGGATAGTTAGGTTAGGAACTTATTACAAACTTTTGGCGTGACTGCTGATACTTTAACATATTATGTATCGTATGAGTGGAAATAATTTGTGAAGGAATTTCTCACAGTAGAGGGAGTGTTCTGATTGATCCAAGTAAGGTGGGTAGAAAGTCACCTGTTATAGTAGAATTAGTGAGTCCATAACATGGACTAGAATTTTTAACATTCATTTTCACTGAAGAAGCTCTACCACTTGTGTTGCAATAGAAGAGGCTCAGTAATACCAGTAATTTACATGTTGATATGTGGGTGAGTAATCTTTGCAGCTGTTTTTGTCTTGAAATTGCTACTTGGCATTGCTGTGTACTAAATTTCATATCTGTGTGTTTTTTCCAGTAATCCACTGTAGATGTTCCAGGTGCTTTCCTTTTCCTTCCAAGCGAAGGATAAGAAAACGGCCCCGAGTCCTGACCTTATTGAGTCTCCCTGAAGATGTCCTGTTTCACATTCTGAAAGGTCTTCCTGCTGAGGACATTCTCTCAATCCGAGCTGTGAGTCTGTTAATCCATTTCACCCCTGTAACGTGATGTGGCTTACCACTGTCCTTGTGATGTCCTGCCATTAGGACCCAGGACTGGGGGACAGCTGGATTCTCATGTCATAGCAAATCTACCAGCTGTACAGCCACCCTGTATGTATTCCTTTTGTTTTTCTTGAGATCTGTGCCCTTGTAATAGCAATTTGATTGGTAAGTCCTTCAAGATCAAGATTAGCAGGAGAGTTAGTTTGGGTGTTTGTAGGGGCCTGTTTTGCTAAATGATCCTGACTGAACAGTTTGGTTCAGCTAAGAATATCTTGCCTTCCAAACCTGCATCTTTGTCTAGTCTAACTTACTGTAGATAAAGCAACGAATAGATGTATAAAAATCTACCAGTGGTATGTTAGGCTAACAGGATTGTAATAGTAGATCTCAAGAACTATTTTGTACTCATTTGCTTCTGTTTTATCTCCAGGTGCATTCACATCTTAAATACCTTGTAGATAATCACGCTAGTGTTTGGGCATGTGCAAGTTTTCAAGAAGTATGGCCTTCTCCAAACAATCTGAGAATGTTTGACAGGTAAATGACAGGAATCCAGGCATGTCTGCTGCATAAGGGGAAGGTAAATAGGTATCCAACTCCTGCTGACTTTTGCTGAAAGTTTGGGTACCTAATTGTCCTTTTGGCCTTTGAAAATCTCTCTGCTTCATGTGATTAGGAGTACTGTTGATTTCTTTGCCTGTGTTACAAGTTGGGATGGTTATGTTAGCTGAAGCAGGGGCTACAGTTGTATTGGTAGCATAAGCAGAATTTACTTCTAGAAAGTGCTTTGAGATCCTCTGATAAACTAATCACAGGTGCTTTTCTTCTCTACTTCTGTCTCAGTATAATGTATAAACCAGAATGACAGACCAGAAGAAAGCATAATTAGTTTTAAAAGTCCTTAAAAGTTGTACAACTTAACTTTTTTACATATGTAGCAGCATTTTAAAAAAACAGTAAGAGTTGCAAATAAAGGGGGTTGAAGTCTGAACGAGTAAAGATATCTCTGAAAAGATTTAATGTCCCTTTTGAAGGAATGGAGGTGGATGCTAACGTAATATGCTACTTGTCTTCCTTCTGATTATTGTCGGCACTCTGAGAGAGCTATTTAGTATTTAGATTTAGTTCTTTATGAAGATGAGAGACTTCTAGAGGATGCTTTACCTGAAAAAAGTGTCTCTGGCTTTTGTGGGGACAGGAAAGGAAGGATATGATGATTTATTCTCTAGTGCTCCTGGAGATGTCTTATCTACTTCAGAGGTGCAAGTGTTTAATTTTTCCATTTTTTTTTAAATATAACTAGAAAGCAAAGTTTGTTGCTCCCCTGGAATTCTCAAGTGATTCAAACATCTGATTTGGAGACGCAGCTTAAATTTGAGGTCTTTTTATATGTTCTTCCTCAGGGCTGCTGAAAAGGGTAACTTTGAAGCTGCTGTGAAGCTGGGAATAGCATACCTTTACAACGAAGGCTGTAAGTATGAGCATTTATGATTTGAAATGGCAGAGGGGGTGTTTTAAAATGGAAATCAGACATTCACAGTCTAATCAACAAGTTTTGATTTTTTTTTTTTTTTATGGGTTACTTGAAGAGGGACACCCCTAAATTGAAACAATAAAGATTTTTACATCCAAATTACAAGACTGGTGAAGATAATTAAAACTATTTTCCCCTTGCTCTCAAGTATGTGGCCTGGTCCCATCTACCATTATGCCATTGAATGATATAACAGAAAAAGCATGTAAGCATTTTATAAACCACTGACGTAGGAGGGGCTGAAATAGCACTATGTACAGAAAACCAGTGAAAAAAATTAATGGACTTTCTTCTTAGCTGAGGTGTAGAAGCAACAATCACACAATTAACAGCTCCTGAAGGGTTGAATTTTGTCAGTCTCTGATCAGACTTGGTTGTTTGGGGTATCTACAAAGCATGCTTTAAAATGCAGACAAAGTGTTAGAAAATGAATTGTTTTTTTTAAAGGGAGGTGCCTGACAGCTGACATTTGTGCTCATGTGCCAAAGGGGATTGGTGTTAATTTTTCAAGTATCAGTATTTATCATATCACACTAAGCTAGGATTCTGCATTGCTGTCAGCTGACTGTATGACAAGGTCTTGTGTTGCTGCCAGTGATTTTTTTTTTTTTTTTTTTTTTATTTTTGGTTTTTTTTTATTTTTTGTTTTTTTTTTTTTTTTTTTTTTTAATTTTGGTGTTTTTTGACTGTCAAAAGTTCTAGCCTGAATCATGTAGAATAAGCCTGTACAAATAGGGAAGTATTCCATTTGGATTTGGATTTGGATTTGGATTTGGATTTGGCTGATTCGGAGGACAGTGATTCAGTTTGAAGATTTGGATCACTGTCCTGAATTGATTCGGCTGAATGAGCTTCAGAAGATTCGGACAGACTTGGTGATTTGGATCGGCCAGGAGAGGCAGGCACAGCCAGGCGGCTGCAGGTTCTGTGCCTGCCCGCCTCCCCCTCTAGCCCAGGGTGGTGGGGAGCCACAGGAAAAGTCCCTGTGGCTGCCCTGCCTGGCACTATCCCTTGCCCAGCCCCAGCCTAGTCCCAGCACTTTAAAAGAAAACAAGCCCCACAGTCACTGGCTGCTGCAGTGGCAATTATCCCGGCTGCTTCACGCTGCACAGGGTGGCTCTGCCATGAGCTTTCAGAAGCCCCTGATTGCCACTGCCAGAACCGGTGAGTGCAGGGCTTTTTTTTAAGTGCTGGGTGGTTGGGCTGGGCGGGGGATAGGGCTGGGCAGGGCAGCCATGGAGGCTTTTCCCACAGCTCTTCCAGCTGTGCCTGTCTTTGCCCCAGTGAGGGGAGCTGTGGTGGCTCTGCCCTGTTGCTGCCTGCCAAGCCAGCGGGTGGGGCACAATAGAGGCATGGCTCACTTCGGGCAGCAGAAGGGCAGAGCCCCTGCTCCCAGCACTGCTGCGCCTACATCAGTGCTGGGAGAGGGGGCTCTGCCCTGCCGCTGCTTGCCAGCTGGCACGGGAGATGCAGGATACAGGCACAGGAGCGATGGAAGCGGGGGCTATGCCCTGCTGCTGCTTGCCCCCTTCTGCCTGGAGCAAACTGCACCTGCATCCTGTGAGCCACCCTCCCTGCCCCGGCTGGGCAAGTGGCAGCAGGGCAGAGCCCCTACTCCCAGTGCTGCTGCACCCACATCCCACTCCCCGAGTAATGCACCACTTCACACCGGCTGGGCAACTTTTCCCAGCCCCAAACCCTCCCTTCCCCACACCCCTTCCCTCTACCCTCCCCCAAGCCCCAACAGACTTACCAGCTGGAAGCAGCTGTCACCTGCCTGTTTAGTCTATGGCTGAATCTCCAAAGTGGCTGAGTCTTTTCAGAAGCTATTCCAAATCAATTCAGATGCTTCAAATCGATTCAGAGCTTTTACGTGGTCTCCCAATTTGATTTGGATTTGAAGATTTGAGCCCCAAATTGGGCTGAATCTTCTCCAAATTGAATCGGCTACAGAAGCTTTGCACAGTCTTAATGTAGAGGTACCTTTCAGTCTTTCTCCTGCCACATTCTGTTAGTGTCTCTAAAAATTATCCTGTGGTGATTTTTAAACTCTTTCCTTTTTACATTTTTTATGGTCTTTCCCTTGTTCCAGTGTCCATCTCTGATGAGGGTCGTGCAGAAGTGAATGGGTTAAAGGCATCTCATTTCTTCAGTTTGGCAGAACGTCTGAATGTGTGTGCAGCCCCATTTATCTGGCTTTTTATTCGCCCACCCTGGTCCGTGAGTGGGAGCTGCTGCAAAGCTGTGGTCTATGAGAGTCTTAAAGCAGAGTGCCAGTTTCAGAAAGTAAGTGGTACTTTTTTCTGTTGGTGGTTTTCAAGCAGCTTAGAATGGGCAGCCACTTCTTTGCCAGGATCTTCAATTTCTCCAAGTAGCTTTTATGCCTTCACTTGTTAAATGGCTCTAAACAGAGTTGTAGATAGAATTATACTGCGTGCAGCATGTTGGAGGGGCACTGTCAGATGAATGCCAAAGGATGGCTTGGCCAGATTCAGTACCATGATTAAAGCAAGGCAACCTGGGCAGCAACACTGGACATTGACTTAGGAGTGGGGCAGGGGGTGGAAGAACAGCAGTTGCTGCCACACCCTCACAATTGTATTGCCAGCAGCACAGTGGCAGCTGGAAGTTGCCACTGCCTTAGAGTGACCCAGCTGCCCTGGCACATTGCTCTCTTGTTATGCCTCTGGCCAGATTCAGTTCCATCTCCTGAAGTAACAAAATACTGAGGGAAGGAATGGTCAGTTGTCAAAAGACCAGCAGCAAAATGCAAGTTCTAGCCTGGAGGTGTCTGGAAGAAGTTGTTCTGTTTTGTTCTTTTTAATAATACATGGCTGCTTAAACCTTAT